ATTTCTTCTTTCCATTTTTGACAAAGAATTTGTGGTTCACAATCATTCTTACACATTTTTCTCTCATCTGCACAACCCTCCACCACACATTTCCCACTATCTTAATCCCCGTGCCCAGTCAAAACCGAAGTTAATTCTGGGACGGAGGGAGTATTAAATAAAAGAATAAGAATGATGAGATTAATATACTCACACGACTATAATTTAGGTTGGCAGTTGGACTAAAAATTTATAAAGTGGAAACTTGCTTCTATTAATGTTAAACAAAATTGATATAGGGCATGTTTGGCATTTAGCGGTTAGCGGATACCGAGTTATGTTAGCGACATGTCAATAGCGGATTCAGTCAGCGGGTTTGACTAGGGGAATAAAATGGCGGTTTGCCAGAAGATGTTTGATAATTTAGCTGTTTGGCCATAAAATTAATAGAAAAGTCATTTTCCAAAACGCTAAGTCGCTAACTCAAAACTCTCATATTTACAGCGTTTTCCATTCTAGCGATTTCTTTCAAAAACGTTAGGGTCGAACAACTACTTACCAAACATTGTTTTCATTTATTAAAAACGTTAAAAGTGGCCAAACCGTTGTTGTTTTTTTTGCCGGGACATGCACCATTTTCCAAACACCTCATATATAGAAAGATGGCGCCTACATCATCGAATGAAAGACTAGTCTTTGAAAGTATAAATATAAGTTTAACAACATAAGCTAATGTGTACATATCTCATATCTGAAAATTATTTTGATAATTTTAATTGTGCATTGCTGACAAATCATATTATTTAAACAGTTAATGAGTATATTTTCAATGGTTATATAGAAGATTCATATACACGAACTTATGAGAACTCATTTTAAAATAAGAACTCATTTTAAAATAAGAACTTCTAATCTCCATCATTTATTTTCATAATCAATGGCTAATAATGATAAGGAGGCATTTATGTAAAAATTTAGGATTAATTGCAAAAAAACTCCATTTGAGTTTGAGATAATTAATGATTAAAAGTTCTTATTTTAGGATGAGTTCTCACTCGAACCCTCAAAATATCTATATATATAAAACCAATCACATTAAATATTTTTTGAAACTACCCCACACAACAAATCCCATCCATGGACCATGGTATTTACTCCAAATCCATTGAATGTAACGTAACCAATAAACCAAACCATTTTTTCAAGATGATATCATTAATTTCACTTTCCCACCCTTTTTTTCCCAGTAACTAGTACAGTATACGTGAAAAAAATTCAAAAGTAAAATAATTTTAAAAATATGACATCTATTTACACATAAGAAAAAATGCAGTCCCTTAAATGCTATTCACAGCCTCCAATTTAATTTAAAAATAAATAAATTATTTGAAATTGTTATTTTACCCTTTACATTCCTAATGTTCGACACTTCGATGATTGTTCAAAGTCCTCCACAAAGATCATCGATACTACTCGATCTTAGCCCGTTTTGACTGGCTACTCTCTCCCTCCCTGTGAAGCTTCCCTCTCCCGGCATAAAGTGTTAGCTTGTGAATCACCAAGAATTTTGTCCAACTTTGATTCTATCTGTAAAACCAGAGCTTTTCCGCCATTAATGGTAGTTTGGAGGTTCATCCAGTTTTAGGAATACCCATTCTGTCTAGATAATTCCAAGGTCACATCTTTCGACCCCCTTCGTCGGAGGCAACCTGCCATCGCTGCTCCATTTGGGTGGTGTTGTCGACCTTGCTACAGTTGATGATCCTCTCGGACTATGAGCCGCTGCTCTCTCTTCTGGACGAGCTTGGCTTCACTGAATCACTGATTTCTATGGAGGAGAAAGTGGGATAGTGATGAACTGATGATAAGGGGTGTAAAAGGTCGTTAAAGTAGGAATATTAAATAATTTTGTTGATACGGTGGCTGCACGGAGTAAAATGGAGGTTGTATTTAGAATTGCCCAACACACAAATACCAAATTAAAGGTCAACATTTATACTAAAAAATATTTGGAAAACGCGGACGGTCCCTCATGGTAGGGTTTTAGGTTTTTTAGCGCAGCCTTTGCGCGGAGCAGACGGAAGCATCGCTTCGATTTTCTCTTTTCTCGCAACCCTTCATCGTTTTAGGAGCAAAGCTTAATCGCAGTAGCGAACATATCTCCAGTGATGGGAACCGAATACAATCAGACAGAGATGGAATCCCTGGCGCAAGCGTATGGACAATTGGATATGGAAGAAGAAAACGATGTCCTAGAGGTGGAATGAGTGGCGCCAACTTCTACGAATTTATCCCTGGTAGGCACAATTACTTCAGAGAAAATGGTAAGATTCACTAATTTTCGTGATATTATGGCCTCAATTTGGAAACCTGAGAAAGGCGTCACGATAACGGAAATAGGATCTAGACGTTATTTGTTCAAATTTTATGATGTGATTGATATGACTAGGGTTGCTGAGGAAGGACCCTGGATTTATGATCAAAACTTGGTCATTCTGAGTAAGCTGAAAAAAGGAGACATACCCTTGTATGTCCCCTTGAATAAGACAGATTTGTGGGTACAGATTCATGATACCTTTTCCTGATCGCCTATTTCTTTGATCGATACACCTTTTCCTGGTCTCCACAGCGAAGCCATAAGCTCCTTGAAAATCGGAAATTTGATCTTCCTATCAGTCATAAGAGTACCCACAACCAGAAAGCTCAGCCCTTCTCCTCGGAATCCCCCCTATTACCATGTTCTTTTTTATTGATTCACAATTGACTCCATTAGAGACTACCTACTCCTGAACCGATCGGAACCCTTAGACACACTGCACGATCTCCGCCCTTCTTCGCACGGGAAAAAGACCTCGACGTTGCTGCCAACGCTAGCCTCCTCCGCACTCTGCCCTTCGCGATCGCTCGCCATCAACGTCTACGGAATGTCAGATAACCACCTCTAGCGGCCGCTCCTAGACAATGTTGATAGCGGAGAGAAAATCCTAGTGATGGAGAGCCACCCTAGAGAGAGAAATTTGGAAATCACTATTTTAAATATGAAGATTTATAAAACAACCTTCTTATTTTCCAACCTCAATACATATTATTCCATATTAAATAAAGAATTGATTCCTAATATATGATCAAAGTAAGAATAGTGGATAACCTATGACTTATTAACTTTTAATAACCACAATTGTGTTTAAATTTACATCAACAAAATTATTTTTTCCTTTAACATTATTTTAGAAAAAACTCATTTAATTGTTACCTGGTTCTAGAGTTTTATTTCTAAATTCCAAATACAAATTCACCATCATTTGCTCACCCAAAGAAACCTCAATAACATTCTATATACTATCATCATTCTTAAATATATTCAAACATTTTGAGTTATGCAATATTCACATGTTTTACTATGACTATATTTTATTTATTAACTTTATCTCTCATATATAGTTCTTTTAAATATTAGATAAGTCGACTACAATTGAGCGGAAGAATTTATATCTCTACATGTAGTGCTTTAAGGTATAAGCTAAGGTAATCTGACTAACAATTAAGCGGGAGAACTTTCTCTCTCATATGTTAGGATTTTAGGTATAAGAAAACAAGTTTGCTAATATTTGAGTGGGAGAATTTTCTCTCTCATATGTAGTATTTTTAGGTATTAGAAAAAAATCTTGCTAACAATTGAGCGGGGAAATGGAGCAAGATAACTTTCACTTTCATATGTAGTTCTTTGAAGTATAAGATAAGACGTCTAACAATCGAGCGCGATAAATTTCGCTCTCATAAGTAGTGCAAATAATTGAGTGAGAGAACTTTATCTCTCATACGTAGTTCTTTTTAAGTATAAGATAAATCGGCTAATAATTGAGCGTGATTTTTTTTCTCCCATACGTAGTGCTTTTAGGTACTCGATAACATAAGCCGACTAACAATTGAACGGGAGAATTCTCACTTTCATATGTAGTGTTTTTAGATATGACAAGATAAACTTGTTAATAGTTGAGCGGGAGAATTTTCTCTCTCATATATACAGTTTTTAGGTATTAGAATACAAGCTTGCCAGCAATTGATATGAGAAGTAGCCCAAAGTCCTAAAAGGTCAACCTGATATGAGAAATAGTCCAAAGTCTTGTATAGTGTTTTGTTGTTTTAAAGCTTTCCGGGAGTGAGACAAATACTTTGACACGCCCCTCAGTCCGATCTGGGCTGGACAATATCGGGCTGTACAAACGAGACAAACGTACTCCTAACAATTTACCCTTAATCATGAGTACTAAACAAGCACTCAAACTACCATCGAACTTGACTTTGATATAATGTTAAGACCCGGGGTTCTATTCTAAAAAGTTAACTTGATATGAGAACTAATTTATTGTTTTATAGTTTTGCGATGTGAGGCAAATGCTTAACAAACTTGGCCAAATTTTAAGTGACGGAGATACTATTTCATATGGTCCTCGTTTTTATTTAAAAAAATAATTACATATTTATGACTAAAATAAAGATTGTTTACAAAAATGTGACTAGTGACTAGAGTAGTAATGAAATAATAGAAACTTATGTTTAAATTTTATACTTAAGTTACCATGACACTACATTGTAATAACTATTAATCATATTTGTGTAAATAAGTACTCCGTATTATTTTAGTAATATTTTTGTAAAAAACCCTTCAAAAAATATAAATATTTACTCCATCAACTTTCGGACTCGCCCATCTAAGGAGTGTGTAATAACTATTAATCATGTTTGTAAATGCTTTTTAGAAGCACTTATATATTGTGCTCTAAAAAACTATATGTAACGCTTATTAAACTTTTGCTTCTACTCAAATTTATGTATTTTAAAGTTAAAGCTTCTCAGGAATAAAAGTATAAGTTTTTGACATAGTATAATAATTTGGGGTGTTTAGGAAAATGACTTTTCAACATAACATAACGATTTGACAATGTTTAGCGTTTTCAAGAAGTAAAAATGATACTATAAGGGCCGCTGAATTGAGAATGCTACAAACCGTTTTTTTTTGGAAGAAGGTGGCTTAAATTATGATAACAGAATATAAGCATGTTACAAAATGATAAAAAGTCTTCCGTCTGCCGTACGTCCTAGAACCAGACTTAGAATCAATCACCCCCGTAGAAGCAATTAGATTTGATGATCCCGCTATGGGTTTAACTGAGCCAATGACTTGCAAATCAGACTTCTCATCACCGGTCCTAGGTTCTAGAGTTTTCTTGCTCGAAAAACACAACACAACCAATACAGAGTAAAAATCCAAAAAAAATGAAACATGAAAAAATCTAAAGAAGCAAAATAAAATTCTTGAACCCTAGCACCTCGTTCAATCCCTAGCGGTGGTTCAGGAGGAGGCCGGATCCCCGCTATGATTGTTGACGCGGAGTGGATCAAAGCATCAATCAATCGGAGTAGATTCCTCTTGCCCTGCCTCCCATTCGTCGTGCTCACTGCCCAACCATCTCCGACGGATCATCTACCTTTCCCGTTTAGCCCTCCTGTTTGCCGCTGCACTCCTGCCATCACCTTGTTCTGGATTGGTGGCTAGGAAGCCGCCCTCATCAATTGGTAATCGAGTCCGCACACAACACTGCCCGATTTGCACCCTTAGCGATGTTCGGAGACTCGCTGCGCCATTGAAATCTGCTCCTAGATCACTCGCTACTACAAGAAGAAGGAAGACCGGACCAGGCGACTGTCGTCACCGCCAGAATAAACACCTACGGATCAACCCTAGAGACAGCCACTTTAGATTGAGATCCGGTTTTTCTTACGCCTTTTCTTTTTGAGAATGCTACAAACCGTTGAAATAGCAACATTTTAGGTTAACATTTTGAAACAAGACATTTTATACTCATTGTTGTCACAAAACAATTAAATTACCAAACATTTTTTTGCAATCCGCTAATTTACTTTGCTAGTGAATCTAAGTGATGGAGTATATGGCCCAGGAACCCCCGGTCCACAGACTCCTGCTACTCTATCACAGGCCCAACAGGCCCAAGAAGCATAAGAGGCCCAAAGAACAGCTGCCCAAGCCCAAGGGGCGCCTGGGGTAGCCTTCGGCAACATGGCCGAAGGCTCCAAAACGCACAGTACGGCCAGTTTCGGGCACACAAAGCTACTGGGAGAAAATGGCAAAAAACAGGAGCCTTCGGCACTATCAAGCCCTCAGCATCAGGGAAGCCTTCGGCTGAACCAAGCCTTCGGCTACACAGAGCCTTCGGCCACACAGAGCCCTCAGCTACATGGAGAGCCTTCGGCTAACAGACTCAATCATCGAAGATTCCCTTTGGAGACAACCAACCACCGCATTTAATGCAACGTCACATCCACCCACCGCATTTAATGCGGTGAACGTGCGACTGCCGGTGCCACCCCGATTGAGGTGACCCCTCGGCCGTTGGATTACTGACACGTGTACTCTCATTGCATTTATTGCTGCTATAAATAGCAGCCCTTATTCCTCTTGTAAAGGACCAGAACATCTCGAGTTCATTAATATAATCGCCTCTCTCTCCTACTTGTTTGCTCTGACTTCTCTCTAGGTTATTCTCATAATAACCCCTCGGATTAGCTACCCCGGCCCGGGTACACTATCCATCACTAAGTATTTAAACATTAAGAGCTCATTTGGTAACACTGAAGTTGGCTGAATTGGCTAATTCTGCTGAAACTTATGAAGTTTTGGCTGAAGTGGTTGCATTGACTGATTGTGCTGATTTATGAAAAAATTGTATTTAAAATATTTGGATAATAAATACAGCAAAAAATGTGAAAAATAGTTTAAATGATCCTCTACAGTAACTTCAGCCAATACAGGCAGAAAAGTAATTTCAACCTTATTTTTTCTTATTATTACACAATTCAGCTTGCGAAATCAAAAGTTATGTGTTTGGTAAAAAACAAACTGATAAACTTGATAAGCAAAAAGGGTTCACCAAACGTGGTTTCATTTGATGAGTTCAAATGTTCTCGAGTTCAATTCGTGCAGTTCGATCATAAATGTTAAGACGCTGAGTTATTTTAGCCTTTTAGGGCTAAAAGTATTAAATTTGAAAAAGCATTCAGCGTTTATGTCACAATCAAAATATCAATCTCAATACCGTTTTCCCCATCTTGTCCAACAATCCTTTACAATATTTTTAATTGTGGTGGCTTTAGCCTAAAAATGTTCTTTTTCGCACGTGGGGACTTGGTGTAGGCACAGAAGTTGCTTTATTCTTATTCCTTGAAAGTCTGTTTTACTTTCTCCATCTTTGCAAAAGTTGATGGCAACAAAAAAAGACCACCTTTGCTATCGACCAAAGAAGGCATTTGGAATAGCATGCCATTTATATGCTAAAATACATCATGTGTGAATACTAATTCTTATATTATCAAAATGTTGATTTTATCACCATTCAACCCTTATAAACTGAACCGAATACCTTGAATTCGGACACGTTCTAAATTTAGATATTAAATTTACGTTTCACTAGTGGATTTGATCAAGGCGGGAAAAGATAATGATGTGTTTTCTTTTTTAGTCTCCACAATCTAACTGAAACAAGCGGTCACTGGAGTTTAGAGAATGTCAGGGATGGGTGGCAACTGGCAAGGCGATGGAGGTGGATTGTCGAAGACCAGTAACCTGAGAGATGGGTCATCCAAGGGTTTGGACAGAAGAGTTACGACCAAAAATAACACGATTCAACATAGAACACATAATTTCGTACTCTAATTGTTCTCATGAATAACATTATGCTACAAAAGATTAGGGTGGCATTACATAGACTCACTTGAACCAAGTTGAGGGAACAACGCAGAATTGAATGCTTCTCCAAGATCAAGCATTTAGCAGAACAAGGAAACACCCTAATGAGTCATATCTCCTAGTAAAGATCACTATCCTTATGGGTGTGAATCACACAATCTGAAGTCGGGTACGCAACACATGTCAACACGTACCCCGCTTCCATTTGGGCATCATCAAGGAAAGACCCGTCAGATTGGTCAACTTTCCCGGAGACGACCTTTCCTGCACAGGTGGAGCATGCACCAGCCCTACAAGAATAAGGCAAATCTATTCCTGCTTCCTCGGCTGCATCAAGAATGTAAGTATTATCAGGTGCATCAAAGGCAGTCTCTTTGCCATCTGGACCCACCAATCTGACTTTGTATGTAGCATTTGCTCTGAAACGGTCAGCTCTCATGCCACCAAATGATATCGAGACTGTCCTTTGCAATGATCTTGGGGATGATGGGTTCTTGAAAAATGCAATCTTTGGTTGGCTGGGAGATGCAATTGTGAACATGCAAGTAGGTGGAAGTCTTGCTGTGGGCATGGTCACCTGAAAATATATGAATGTCATTCACTCATTCACTCTGTCTAGTCATTTTAGATGCACCAGGCTCCAACTCAAAGGCATAACTCAGGCCATTCACTCTAGGCCTGAGCCAAATATGCATAAAATCTCATTGTACCCGTTTTTCCGAGATAAAAACATACTACATACATGATAGATAATATGAGCCCCTGAAATGTTGGGCTTAAAATTACAGTCTCATTTGCCCAACTGCAGAATCACAGATACCTGGGCTAGATAAAAAAGAAAGGACCCGAACTATGAAATTAAGGACCAATCATTTAGACTGATATTTAGCGGAATGTTCTAAAACAGTCTCATGATCTATTTAAATCAAGCCTTGTTTGGTTTGAAGTAGTATGATGTTATGTGTGTTTGATTGCTTTTAGAGTTTCGTACATTGTTGTCCAGCATGTCTATTGTGGTCCAATCTGTTCAGGTGTGTTTAAGTCTGATTTGGTTGGATCAATTAAGCCAATAGCACGCTATAGTGGTGTTACTGGTGTAGTGGAGCAGAGCAGCGCTACTAGAGCCTCTGTAAACGAGCTTTCGACTTTGGCTGACATATCGGCCACTGTTGCAGGCACTATAGCTGAATCTTTGAGTTTCTGAGTTGGTTTTTAAATTTTTTAAAGGGGTAAAAGCTAAAAAGCATGCTTTTTAGAATAAAAATTAACCCCAATAAAACATTTCCAAGTACATAAACCCATCCCAGCATTCTAAAAACGTTCTTGACCAGCGTCGTGGCTCAAAAACTACACATCAAATCAGACAAATGTTCATGAAAGCCAAAGACCTTGTTTATTCAACTACTTTCGACCACTACGTTTCTTCGTCTACTTTCAAGTCTTCTTAGTCATCTGCCACTAGTCTTGAAGCTTGTTTAGTATGGAGCCTACTGCCTTGCCTTGTTAAAGGCCAAATGAGATTGTCTTTATCACGATTAGAAGTGGAATAGTTAGAAAGATTCTAATCTGAATGTCATGAAGTTTGTGATTTTGAGTGATATTTGTCATTGTCATTGTCATTGTCAGTGTCATTGTATACAATAATCTTGTATTATATACGTAGTATAAAAGTTACCCAAATAGCCTACATCGCTAGTGTTTTCGTGGTAGACCATTCCGCTCCGTTATCCAGGAGTGACAACACTGGGATGGGTCTACTTCTCTGGTCTGATAGGGTCAAGAATCAAAGCAAGTCAAGTGAACGGGCGTTCCCTAAGTAAATGCAAGATTACAATAAGAGCTATCAGATAGTCTTCCTGAACAACAATACCATGACATGGATTTAAATCTGCATTAGGTTTCTTTTTATTATTTAGTTAGCTTTCTACTTTCAAGCCTAGTGGAATGGACCACTTACTGGGCTTCTACCTCAAAACATCACTTACTGGATAATTGTTTTGTAGTTGATAATAAAATGTTTTATAAGTCTTTATGTGTAAAATAGATGTATAGGCAAATATTGCCTAACCCAACCCCTGCAATGGTATTTTTGTCCAATCACAACTAGTGACTCAAGTTAGGTATTTTTAAACTTTCACTCCTATTTTTACAGTTTTAACATGTTTTACTCCGTAATGATCTCATAATTGTGTTCTTAAGTATTAAGTTGCTCTGTGTATAATATAATGCTTAATTCACAAAACACAGAGCAAATAAAGCTGATTTAGATAAAAATGACATTCTTGTCTGGCAGTCAAACTATACTACTATTATTATCATTATTTTCAAGAGATTTCATTTCCGGGGCATATATCTTGTGTTTGGCATTGGACTTTCTAAAGCTTTTAAAGTATTCATTTGAACCTCACATACACAGGGCATTAAATTGTTAAAATGCAATGAACATTACAATGAGAATTCAAACAGATTGAGATCTAAGCTAACACATGAAGATTGGACAATGAAGAACGATAGTTTGCCCCTGCAATCACTAGAATGATAAAACACAATTACCATTCTCCAGTCTATAACAGCAAATTATACAAATTCAAAAAAGGGTCGCATGCAGCATGCTTATTCGATACAAAATACAATCTTGATTCACAAAATCACAATCTTTAATCATGGCAGGCATCAAAATTCATGCTTTAATCACAAATCACTAAATCCCAAGAGCCTAAAACAAGGAACGAGTATGACTTCATTGGAAGGAAAAACAGCAGAGGTGCAAGGTATACTCATAATCAATGAATCAAATAAACTGCTAAAGTTAGCATCAATCGTTGGTGAAGGTGAGTGAATAAAAAGAAAAAACATACCCAAAAATTGGATTCTATCTGGGAATCAAAGACAGCACTTCAGGGATGGGGAAATGAGGCGTGAGCGGAGAAGTCGAAGCAAGGTCAAATGCTTAGTCTCAGCGGATATTTAAAGAAGGGGGTGGCCAAAGTGATCTATGGGCTATGGCTTTTGGGTTTTGCTTGGCCTCCGAGTTCAGTCTGTGTGCTGGGAGTGTTTGGGACGCAAATGATTCATAACATTTCTAGTAGAAGCGTTCAGTTTGACCAAATTACAAATTCACACGTGCCCCGTCGTCCAGGTAATTTAATTGAGAAAATTAAATTACATTCATATACTCCATCTCCCCAAAATGTTGTCAAATTCACTTTTCTTGATGAATGATATTTAATTTTGACCAATGATATTTTTTAATATGAAAATATTTGAAATATGAAAATTATATCAAAATATTCCTTATTCAAAATATTTTCATAAAAGCATAAAATTTATAACTTATATATATATCATAAATAAAATTATTGTCCAAAATTTGACATCATTGACCAAGAAAAGTCAACATAACGAATCTTTTCGGGATGGAGGTAGTACAAATTTTTTATACTTTTAATAGAGAACCCCTATTTGCTTGTGTACACATGCAGTTCGTCTAACAAAATCAGTAATACTATGTCACTGCCTGTGTAACAGGTTGTGTACAAAAAATGTACAAATTTTGGATACAACAAAAATTACTCAATTAATTATGGGCCGCTAGCGGATCATATTTTTCAGCTTATCAGTCTGATAAAGAAACTTTTTTTCATCAAATGTGTAACTTTTGATTTTACATGTTAGATTGTCTAATAATCAAAATAAGTAAAGTTGAAATTACTATTCTAGATGAATTGGCTGAAGTTACTGTAGGACCATTTTATCTTTTTTTCATATAATTTTTTCTTGGGACAGTTGTCTAAACAGAAATAAATAAAAGTAAAAGTGCAAAAATAGGGGCATAAAGTTTAATTTCTTAAAAAAGAATAGTTTTTCCTATTCTACCTTTTCCCTTGTGGGCTTGGTGAAATTTTTTAAATAATACTCCACAATAATAAAACATAAGAATACAAAACTCAAAAACATAAAAAAAAAACAAAAAATACAGGCCTCAACCAAAGGCATAATAGTTTTTTCTTGGGACAGTTGTCTAAACAAAGATAAATAAAAGTAAAAGTGCAAAAATAGGGGCATAAAGTTTAATTTCTTAAAAAAGAATAGTTTTTCCTATTCTACCTTTTCCCTTGTCATGCTTGGTGAATTTTTTTAAATAATACAGTACTCCATAATAATAAAACATAAAAAAATAACTCAAAAACGTAAAAAAACATATAGGCCTCAACCACCACCTCTGCCACCTTCCAGTACCGCCACCTCCGATAGTTGGGAAAAAATTCAACTTGCAAAAAAAAAAATCATCGTGGTCGCAATTTTGAAAAGAAGGCTTGATATTTTCAAAGACTAAAAATGTCATCTTTATGGCACTATCAAAGGTATATGACATTTTTTACACAAGATGCCATTTTCATGGTGATCGAAGCTGGTGGTGTTGCGACCACATAGGCCTACAATTTTTTTTTACGTATTTTATTTTAGTTTTTATGATTTTTTAAAGTTTTAAATTTTTTAAGTTATTGTATTTTATTTTATTTTATTTTTTCATGTTTTTATTATTAATTAATTTTTTTTAAATTTTAAATTTTTATTATAAATAATATTATGATTTTCTCAGTAACAAAATAAATGTATTAGGGATATGATTATGGGAAAGAGGTAGAGTAGGAAGATGAAATTTATATTACCCCTATTTTTATAATAAAAAGCTTGTAGTCCTATTGTTGCATTTAGGATTAATATTAGTATTATTTAGGGCCAATAGCCATTTTTCTTTATTTTCTCAGTAATATATATTTTAAACATAATTTTCCATATTTAAGTAAATTTAGTCAATTCTGTTGCTTCAACAAGAACTTTATCAATTTTAGCATATTCAGCCGATTAAACGAATTTCTCATATCAATGAACTAATTAAACATTTTATGATAATTGATTAAATGTAAGGACCAACAAATAACACGTAGTTTAAATATAGAGTTTTTTCCCAAAATTACTACTACTAAAATAAAACTTATTTTCAAAAATATGACTAAATAGTTACTATAACATAATCTCGTAGTCACTTAAGTGTAAAATTGAACATAAGTTACTATAACTAAGTTACTATTATAATCACTATACTTAGAAGGTAATCATTTTGTAACGTACATTTACTATAATTGTATCTTAAATATATTGTAATCTTTGAGCATGTAATGGTGTTTTTTGACATCCAATTGATATTCACACAAAAACTACATAATATATTAAAGGTTCTAATACACTTCTTTGTAGACAACATTCATTGTCATATCACTTGCACTTCCATCTTTATTTGAAATCAAAATCTTCAGCTCCTTATGATTTGTTATTCGTGATGCAGCAATATAAAATTGTTCGTGACTAAAAATAGTTTTTCTTAATAACAAACCAATATGAGACAATGATTGTTCTTGACGTCATTATTGGATATTGTCGACATTGGAACTTGCCTGGCAATCTTACGTCAAAATGTGTTAAGAAAGTCGAAATAAGAACATTTTGTCTTGCACTAGTCCTTGTTAGAATTTTCCGCTCAAGAATGAACCATATGAACTAAGATATGTTCTCGCAACTTTCCCTTCATTGAGATTTTTCATATATTCATTAATGGAGTCCACGGTCCACCACACTCAGTGTTGGTGCAAGAATTGCACGATCTTGCAAAAAGTTAAACTTGATGGTGACTTATGAAACTATGAATATTACTCTCAACAATTGCAGCTATTAGATCACAAGAAGTATGAATTCGAATATCCTCAGGAATAGGATTGGAAACAAAACCCTGATTAGTATGTTAGCAACAATTCCATCACCTAAGCTTGCTATCCAATCAGAAAAGGTTTCAAGACATGTGATTCCTCAGGATTCGATATATTTTGCAATCACGTGATCATGATCAATTTCAAAACTGCACAGTCTGACCACAAATATGAAGAGTTAATCATAGCATTAATGTCATCTTGCCTACTTCCTTGGGGAATCACAGGTAATATATAACGGAAGTCACCACTAAAAACCATGGTCTTCCCCTCTTTCCTCCCACTGGCAACCTAGTGCTGTTTGGATTAGTAGATCTCAAAATATCTCTCATCCTTCTGTCTAAAGCTTCAAAACAAAACTTGTGAAGCATTGGAACTTCATCCCAAATAATTACTACCTTCGTCTCATTCAAAGGTTCACGTCCACTATTCTCCGGTCAACATAAAGTCTTCTTAATCTTTAACTTTAATATCCAACTTTTATCAAATTTGAGTTTTTCTTTTGTGAATTTGTAAAATTTTTAATGTAGTTTTTGAATATGTAATTTTATATATATATATATTAAAACGAATCTAATTACGGACAAGGATCAAATAACTTTATGATCAGTCAAATATGTAAACCGCGTGGGAACCTTAATTTCTACGTGACAGAGGGATTAGCTTATATCTTATAATCAAATTCGCAGTAGGATTTCCTTGTTTGATATTACACATAGAGTCTTCATTCAAATACAAATCTCAAATGCGCTCTAATTAGGATGAATTTTGAATTATTACCTGGTTGTAACTTTTGATCCGATTGGTATTTTAATAAAGATCACTTTTCCTTTAAAAAAAAAGAACATTGGGATGGTGTAGCCGTGTAGGTTGTGTCATAAACTTCTATCCATTTCGTTTTTGTGTTTTTTTCTTTGTGACTATCATTTGTAAAATAAAGAATATTTATCTAATACCGTGTAGGTTGTGTACTCTGTATGGGTGCAAGTAGGGCTGGACTCGGGCCGGTTCGGGCCCGGGACGGGCCTAGGCCCGGCCCGGCCGGCGGTTCTGGAATGGGGGGCCCAGAACCGGCCCGGGTAATCCCCGGTTCCGGTTCAGGCTAGGCCGGGTCGGGCCTTTGTTAATTTTTTTTCCCTTTCCCTAGTTAACCCCAACCCCCCCCACCCCCAAACCACCCCAAATGGCCCAAAATACCCAACCCAACCCGAAAAGTAAAAAAAATTGAAAAAGATATTAAAAAGGCCCGGAACCGGGCCTGAACCGGCCGGGCCGGTTCATGATTTGGGGGGCCCGAGCCCGGACCGGAACCCACACGGGTCGGGCCTACCCGGACTGGTCACTGACCGGGCCACTGGGCCGGGCCGGAACAGTGCCGGTTCGGGCCGGTTCCAGGTCGGGCCACCCAGCCCGAGTCCAGGCCTAGGTGAAAGTATCATTAGTAAAAATAGTTCGATGAGAGGTCCTAATGGATTAAGTTCACAGCAATAACTTTTGGAAAAATCAATTTATATGCACCATGTATTACTTGTTTTCTTGCAAGGAATACATTTTGATCAATAATGGAGAAGAATGAATGAATATGAGTTGTTAATTGCCAAAGTCAGGCATATACATTGGAAGATCTTCACCAAGCAAAAGAGATCTCAGCACCGCCTCACACACTGCACTATCATATACAAGCAAATGCCCTCCATCTGGAACTTCATGATACCGGATCCATGGGAGCCTTTTCGACACATATCTTTGTAATTCAACTGGAACAACCTTGTCCATACAACCTTGCCAGATATGAACATTACTCTCGCTTTTTGCATATGGATCACTCAGCTCCAATGGATCGAAATCCCACTTCCCAAATGCCACTTTAATATCCCGTGTAAGGGAGTCAAACACAACTCGACTTCTCAATCCGTCCTACCAAAGGAAAGGAAAAAATGTTATGTCAAAAACATTTGGCTTGTTAGCTCCTAGTGATTTTACTGGTTTGTTTGTTAGCTCTTAGTGATTTTACTGGTTTGTTTTATTAAGATATGAGATTTCATCCTAAAACAAAGTCTAGTTTTTAATGCATTTTCTTATTTGAGTGGATGTAGTATGTATGCCTTTAAATGCTTAATTAGAACACAAATACAAAGCGTGAAATAACCTGAGTGAAAAGCTTATATCCTTGTGCACTTTTCAACACCTCCATGTCTTTGTCACAAAAGAATGCAGGGTTTTTATCAAGAACAGTAGCTGAAGGGAACAATTTCTGTGTGAACCACCAGTGTAACAAGGCCGGGGCACAACGAATTAGTAAAATGACCCACTGGCTTAGTGGTTTTCTAT